ATGGATGGATGGATGGGTGGGTGGGTGGGCGAGTGAATGGATGGATTAAAATCATTCCTTGCTTCGTCCCCTTATATTTATTCTGAATGTAACAAAATAAGGATTTTACTTGCATAACTGGTTAGGTCCATGTGGTTGATGTATTGTTTATAATATGTCATTTGTTCACTGTATCATTTGTGTATAAAATGTGTGCTTTAGTTTTCTTTTCTTTTCTTTCCTTTGCCAGTTTATCAAGATAACTCGTTCCAGGTAGGTTGCTGTTACGCATTTACATTGATACCTTTTTTCCTTTTTAATTTAAATAAGTTTTAATAAATTTCAATAAAAATCATTTTTGAGGCAAGACTCAGTCAAAGAACAACTGAACTACTCATACTTGTGCTCAACATGTTCACACATGATTCCTGCTCAACTCATGCATCATGATATGTTTGAATGATTAATACCGTTTTTTAGTAAAGAAATTTCGCTACTTTGGAATTACACACTTCTATCGGACATTTTTGGCCGTTTTGAGTTATTGAGGTCAAAAACCAAATGTTCTATCTGCTCTATCAAAATCGTGAGATTATTCGGTGCCGTTATCAAGATATTCAAAGAACTGCATTCGGAAAAGCTTGACATGTTTGTGAAACTAAAAAGTTGTTTTTTTTTAACGTCTGATGTATCAAAACTAGGTACTGAGCAGATATAATTTTGTAATTAATTCTAAGGGAGCGATTCATCTTCGATGATAATTCGTGTATAGCCTAGATCTATTTGTCTCAATGGCCTCTTGTTTCTGTTTCTCTCCCAGATCCTGATTGATACTCGGCAAAGTAATGTGAAGTAAGAGCACTTCCGGGAGCAATATAGTCACTCTTTTCTTCTTCATCATCATCATCATCGTTATTATTATTATTTCCTATATCAAGAATATTAGTGTGTAGACGTTATTATTTCATTGTTACTGTTATTGATACCGCTCTAAAAATGTATATGGTTACCATGATTATGGTAATATCTATAGTTTTGTTTGTTGTTGTCATTGTCATTCTTGTAATATGTAATTGCTAACTTGATAACTTTAAATGTGTTAATAAAGGCACAACTCCTACCTAAGAGAAGTCGGTTCCCCCAAACCCAACGTATCACTTTTTTATATCAACAATTAACAATGGATTCATTCTCGTGGTAGTAAAGGATTTTCATTACTTTTTTACACAGTGAACAGTCATTTTTCCTTTTGTGTGTTTTCTGTGGGTTCATTCGGTTGTTGTTTATTCTGCTTTGTCTTTAATTTCTTGAATTATTTATTTTTTTGCGTGTTTTTATTCATTTTAATGAAGGAGTGGTAGCGTTTGCGGTGATTTTTCTAATCGTTTATGTTAGGAGGAAGGGTGGTGCTTAAACCTTTTATAATATCTCTTGACAACTCCGTAATCATGTATTATTATTAGAACCATAGCCAGAGTATGTTTGAGCATACCAGTGTATGTTTGAGTGTATGTTTACGCATGTGTACTATTTCAGCTACAAAGAGATCACCGTCAACGCCAGGGGGACAGTGTCAGACATCATGATGACCAAGGTGAGAGACAACTATGTCCCTAAGCTCAGTTGTGGTTTTCTGTGCGTTTTTGTTGTTGTTGTTGTTGTTGTTGTTGTTGTTGTTGTTGTTGTTGTTGTTGTAATTCTGTCAAACTCTAACGTCCAACTATACATTGAATTTGCCATAACTAAGGGTAGATTGGAGGGAGGAGAGATGATTTATGGAAGGAGAGAGATAAGAACAAAAGGAAGATAAAAAGAATTAGAACTTGGAAAACAGACGAGAATGCTAGCATAACTTGAATTTTGAATCAGTTCTCATCTGTGGTGCTGAAGTTATTGATGTATGTGTGTTATGGGG